GACCAATGCAGAGGACTAAAGCCGTGGTCATCACTGGACAGACATAATTGGTTTGACATTTACAACTGGGATACTATGGTACTTAGGATGCAAGTGCTCCCTTACCCCTGGTTCATGTCGTGGGTGGTGTCGTCCAGCCATACCCTCACTTGGAAAGCGTTACCATCTCTACACCAATTGAATATATCATCCATTGTTTGGCAGTAATTGTGTTTAACTTAAATGTTTTGATGAATGAAAAGTTGTTTTAATGTCAATGGAAATGCTATCACTATTTATGGCACTCCAGGAAAGGCATATAAGGCTATCCCTACNGGTTCATGTCGTGGGTGGTGTCGTCCAGCCATACCCTCACTTGGAAAGCGTTACCATCTCTACACCAATTGAATATATCATCCATTGTTTGGCAGTAATTGTGTTTAACTTAAATGTTTTGATGAATGAAAAGTTGTTTTAATGTCAATGGAAATGCTATCACTATTTATGGCACTCCAGGAAAGGCATATAAGGCTATCCCTACTCTACAAGTTTGGCATACATTGCGTTGAATGGAGTCTCACTCTCCCACTCCATCTAACTGTGCATCCAATCACATCCCATCCCATTCACAGCATACATGGCATACATTGGCCTCACTTTATGGTCATTTGGTAGATGTCTTAATCGAAAACCTCAACGTTTATTGGATTAACACCAGTGATCGCAACGATAGGCAAAACATAATCAACTCAATACACAATCAAAATAGAGAGACAACTCTTCCAACGATATATACATCAGAAAAAACAAATCAAAATACAGTTTCATATTAACAGCACTTGTATTGACTATAAAAAAATAAAAACTTATATATTGTACGATCGGATCAATTAATCTGCAGACTCTTGCGGACCAGTTTGTCGGCAATGGTGTAGAACTGTTGCCTGTCTTCCCTCCACATCTTGGCCGCGTCCACATTGGCTCCGGACTCGTCGAGACGTGACCAAAAAGATCCCCTATAAGGACCAGTCCTGGTTGGGCACAAAGTCCCGTTCCCGTGACGCCACGCTATCCCGGTATTCAGGGCTCACTCTCCAAGAGCTTCATCTCCAGCACAAGATATCGTCGACGCCGTCCGGCGAGACCTGGAGAGGTGTTTGGCAGCGAAATAATAGCGAGATTTGTGCCAAATTTGTGGCTGTCGTCGGGGAAATGGCGCCCAGAATTCCGCGCGACTTCTCCGAGGAGTTCCCAAGACTTCGCATCTTTTCGCACCCGAATGTACTGCCAGTCATTGGTTGCGTGAATTCGCCGCCAAATCTGGTTGTCGTCAACCAACACATGCAATACGGAAGCCTATATCAAGTCCTCCACGAGGGCACCGGTATTGTGGTCGACACGCATAAGGCGCTCAAGTTTGCCATTGATATCGCCCGGGGAATGGCGTTCTTGCATACACTGAATCCACTCATACCTCGTCTCTACTTATCATCGAAACACGTTATGGTATGACATGTGGGCCAACTCCCTGAATACCTGTCCACTGAAGCCCTTATTAACAGACATACCTGTCCACTGAAGCCCTTATTAACAGACATACCTGTCCACTAGATCGACGAGGACCTGACTGCCCGGATCAATATGGCGGACGCCAAGTTCTCGTTCCAGGAGCGCAATAAGGTGTATAACCCGGCGTGGATGGCACCGGAAGCCCTCCAGAAAAAGCACACCGACATCAACGTGAAGGCTGCGGACATGTGGTCGTTCGCCGTACTCTTGTGGGAGTTGGCCACCCGTCAGGTGCCCTTCGCTGACCTCTCGCCCATGGAGATCGGCATGAAGGTAGCGCTCGAGGCCTTAAGGGTCACCATTCCTCCCGGTGTGTCGCCACACATGGCCCGACTGATCCGCATCTGCATGAATGAGGAGCCGGGAAAGAGACCGTCCTTTGATCAGGTGATCCCTATCCTCGACAAAATGAAACAGTCGTAACGGTGGGCACCGGGATCTCAACCCGATACAAGTGTTCAACATTTTGTGTTCAACTCTCTATGCATTTAATATATAATCAAAAAGTTTTTAACAGTTTTAATAATTTATAAAACGATAACATGTTTTTAAAAATAGTTAATTATATACAAGTTTTTTGAATCACAATTAACCACTAATTTATCAAATGTAATCAAATAGATATCTAACATTAAATTTTCATTAATTAATAAATTAAAACAATTAATTAATTAAATTAAAAATAGTTAATTATATACAAGTTTTTTGAATCACAATTAACCACTAATTTATCAAATGTAATCAAATAGATATCTAACATTAAATTTTCATTAATTAATAAATTAAAACAATTAATTAATTAAAACAATTAATTAATTAATTAATTAATAAACAATTAATTTGCTGTCAAAACACCACATCATTCAGTGAGCGCTCTATTATCTCTCTGCCGGCGCTCTCATAGAGGGGTCCGTCCGCTAAGAACTCTTCACTTAGTTCTCTGTAAGTGATGGCAATTCTTCGGCTGTGAATGTCTTGTCTGCGGATAGAGTGCAGGTATTTATAGCGACAATCGCCGGACACCACAACCAGTGAGCGCTGCGGCAAATGAACACAAATCTGGTGATTGGCCTCCGATTGGTCAGCCCTTTGCTCCAGCGGTAATACAAATGTCAAGACTGTGGGCGACAACAGGTTCACAGTCACCAGCCGTTGGCCCCAAATCCAGAAGTCGTCGAAATGCAAGTCAATGGCCGACCCGTTAGCCGGTGTGTACTCGAGATGACACACTTCCACCGCCAAGAAGTCTTTGAGTGCGTGCGAGTAGTCACCCAATTGGTGCTCAATATCGCGGATCAGTTGTCTGTCAAAGTGTGGCAACCCATGGAAGCCATTGGGTTTCACTTTATGTCTCTTGAAGTTGATTTTAGGTCCGAAGTCCTGTTTGCGTCGACCGGACTGCGAGTCAACCCATGGTATCCGGTCTATAGCCGCCACTAACTCCGACTCCCGTTCCGCACTCAACACATCCCGCTTGACGTACAGGCCATCGATGGTCACTGACTGGTGTGTCCTCTTGAGTACTGATCCATCGAGAGTCGAGTGAAGTGAATGATCGCTCACTCCTGGAGCGTACGCTTTGTTCCCACATTCAGGACAATAGATGTATGGTTTGAGTGATTGGTAGACATTGTCTTCGGCGGTGGTGTTGGGGACGCACACCAGACACGTGCGGATGCCTTTGCACGCACACGGCTTACCATTCATTGCACTCATGAGGGTTTCTGTGGATAACTGACCACAATAAGATATGTAGCACCTAGATCAATTAGATCAGTTATGTGGCACCATTTACGGCACTAATTTAACGGACAACACCCTGGTCAATGATGGTAAATCACGTTGACAGTGATAATCACGTTAGCGACCAATGTTACAGTTATGGACATGTGGTCGACATCTAGTGTCCCATAACTTTGCCATACATTGTATACAAACTTTAAGACACCCCATAAAACAAGGGCGTGTGTAACGCAATACTATAAGCATATTATAGCGCTTATTATTTGTCAATACAGGCCATTGTTTTATGAAGTCTACACTTGTATTGGACTATACGTGACATCTGGCGGTGAATACAACAGTCATTGCATTCAATGCTTCATTCAAAACGTTTGAGTGGTTAAGAGATATCACTAGCAATGGATTCACCCGAAGAAGCGGAATACCGGAACAAATTGAGTGCATCGGCGCCGGCGTTGGCCGACAAGATGTCGGTGCTCGAGGCCAGGGATCGACTGATGCGGATGAGGAGGTCGAGGCAAACGGATTTGGCGACAGCGGTGGCGGTGGTCGGCACCTGTCCCGACATGTGTCCAGAGTTTGAGCGATACTTCCGGATAGAGACCAATCAGGTGTCCAACTTCGAGGTCGATGCCGATGGCACGCCAGACGAGCACCGTATGATCAAAGAGTACCGGCGCTCGGGTGCAGATCAGGAGGAGCCGTTGGCTCACGAGCTACGGCCGGCGCCGGTACTTATGATGACTATGGACTACCTCTGCACCAATATTATGGACGCCTTGGACGTGATGTCGATGGACACGAACTTCGGCGAGTGGTATGACTTCGTGTGGAGTAGGAGTCGATCGATACGTAAGGACATCACTCAACAGCACTTGTGCGACACCCGCGCCGTCCGGTTGACCGAAATGTGCGCCCGTTTTCACATCCACTGCGCGGCCACTCTCTGCCAACAGGACGTCAAAGACTTTGATCCCAGGATTAATGAGGAGAATCTGTCCAATTGTCTGCAGTCGCTGAAGGACTTCTACTACGACCTGTCCCTCCG